CATTTCTGTTTAATGAAAGCACTATGACATTATCAGCTGAATCAACAGTGAAGGAAGGAATGCAGCAGAGTCTAAGGTTATATGTTTTTGTTTCTCTTTGCAGGCTGAAGGAGCCTCCAGGGGAAATAAGTTTTCTTATGATTTCCTGTTTGTGGGATTCTGGGTGACTTCATCTGTAGACTATTTGTTCAGAAAACCTCACTGCTGTCAAGTTAGTTCTGACTGCCCAGTTTTCTCCCTCAGAGATACTGGCAGATTTGAACATTGGAGACTCAAAGCTTTTGGGTTGTTTGGGTCAGCAAGAAACCTTACTGGAGGCAACACATGAGGGCTGAAGTCATATCCAGTAGGTGTCCAGGATTTAAACCCAGAGATACTATCCCTAGGCCAGTGAACACATGTTAGACTGTTTAGGTGGAGCTGAATTCTTTCATTTCCTTCCTTTTCCTGCTAAGACTTTGACTCTTGACCTTTACGTGGAAATAAAGACAGCAAAGTTACACAAAAATTTTAAAAAAAAGGAAACTCATAAAGATATGTTACATGTAAATAATGAAATATTAGTAGAATGTGCTTGATGGTTCTTGGGGTGTATGTGTGTGTTTAAATTGTATTTTGCGTGAAAGTTAACATAGTAAATTAATTTCTGTTCAATTTAGGGAGCTCTGGTAGGATAGTCCATTGAATATTGCACTGACTCAAAGGGTGTGCCTTTCTGGCGGTTTGAATCCATCAGTGGCTCCTTGGGAGACAGATGGACAATCTTCTCTTGTGAGGTGCACAGCCTTTGAAAGCCTACTGGAGGGTCAGCTGTGCATTGGTTCTGACTTGACTACAATGAGTTGAGTTACTAGATTTACACACCTTTTGTTTCTTTCTCCCTGGACGCTTCCTGCCTCCTGTGTTTTCTTTTGGTCTTGGATGGTTGACTGTTCTGAGGCGTGTGTTCACAGAGTAAAGAATGGCTTTTAAAAATCACAGAGAGGGGCATGTTGTGTAGAGAGACCATTAGGTTCGAAACCACCAGCTGCTCCGATGGGTACTTGTTCCTGTGTGATTTACAGCCTCTGTAAACCCCCTGGAGGGCCAGCTCTGCTTTGGTTCTGGCTTGATGACAATAAATAACAACATTGTGCTGATCGTTCCCTTGTTATGGACTGTCTTTCCCTTCACCCAACTTACGGAGCCCAGCTAATGTAGTTAGTAGCGTGTCTGGATGCTAACGGAAGATTTGGAAGCAGGAGTGGCATCCACAAACAACATGCCTCCGGAAACCCCATGAATGTGGATAAATGTCAATAGTTATAGAAAGACTTTAGGCCTTTTGTTCAAGGGTCACAATGAGTCCTGCTGGACTTGAAGGTAATCAACAACAGCATTCCTCTGGATAAAGATGCGCAGTCTCCTTCAGGAAAGAGTTACAGCCTTAGAAACTCAGTGGGAGCTTAACTATGAGTAGGATAGCAGTTGACCTGAGTTATAGTGGATTTTACCCAATTGAACATGTGCCTTTGGTTAGTTACTTATAATACAAATATTGTATGAGTCCAGTATTATAAGAAGCTAAGGGAAGGTTTACAAGGTGACAGAAGTATTCATTTATGACTGCCAGGGAAGTATGGGAGGGTTAGGAGAGACAACCCAGCAACTGGTAACTAATTGACGTTTTTCTGAAAGGGATTCTTCTTGGAGGTATAAAGGAGTGATAGAAACTAATTCTAAAAAAAATTATTTTTATTTTAAAAAGTCCTTTTGGCTGTTAACTTGTTTCCCCTGGGTACTGTCCTTCTGGACAGATGTGAGCTTCCAGCAGTTATGGGGAGTGTGTGGCGGCAGCATTCAGGACCCTGGTGTTACTTTCTTCCTGCTCTTTTCAAGGTTGATTAGACAGTGGATGTGAAGGAGACTGACTGACTGCGGCAGAGTCTATTTTTTAATCTTTCTTGTCCACGTTGGGGTGAAGTGAAAAAAAAAAGAAGAGTTTGAAGGAGACAATTTGAAACCAATTATTAATGAATGCTCACTGAAAAAAGCAAATAAACACATGCGTTGGTTCACTTCCAAATCATGATGACCCTCTTGTTGTTTTTATGTGCCATCGAATTGCCCGCAACTCACAGCGACACTATGTCTGAAGCCTGCCCTGTCCTGAGTCAGTCTCACTGATTCCGACATACCTACCCCCATTGCCCCAGGTAGTCTGTCAATCCAGCTTATCCAGGGTCTTCCTCTCCTGTGCTGTCTCTCCACCCTTCAAAGCATGAACCATCCATCCCTCCTGGCCATGTGCCCAAAGTATGTGAGCCAGACCTTCAAAACGCTAGCCTCCAAGGAGAAACTTGGTTTCACCCTCTCCAAGACAGACAGATTTGTTTTCTTGACAGTCCATGGTATGTTCAAGACTCTTCTCCAGCACCACAACTCAAAGTTATCAGTTCTTCTTTTGTCATGATGACCCTATAGGGCCGAATAAAATGATCCCATAGAGTTCCCAAGGCTGCAATCATTATAGAAGCAGACTGTTACACCTTCCACCTGTGGTGCAGCTGGTGGCTAACCTTCATTTTAGTAAGCAGCCGAATGTTTAACCATTCATCCTGGTCAACTTCATTGGCCTCTTCTTTCCCCTCTTTCTCTCTTCTGCTCTTTTCATAAGACATCACTCAAAAGTGATTATGTTTAGGACCCTCTTCTGGTATGACTTGATTGATAGTGTAGAAGCAGCTTAAATGCTAAGCATTAGAGAAGTCGTTTTATATGTTAGCATCAGAGGAGCCATTTTGCTCATTTTAGGAGATGTATGCCTTATTAATTTCAGCAATAATATGTGTCACTGAGCTTTATGTTTCCCAGCACATGCTGACCCAACATGGTTATTACTCCCTGACTACATCCTATACCTTGCCTGGGGCCTGGAGACCCAAGAGAAGTCAGAAACAATCAAGACTCCCAAATGGAAAGAAATCTCAACCACCAACCTCAGTGAACTTTGTGTAACCTCCAACACCAATTTCTGTATATAAACCCAATCTTTGTTTCTTCTCAGGGTCAGAACAGTTTGGACAATAGCTGAGGTTCTTGACCCACACATAGTAAAAGGTTTGTTAATCTCCAGTATTGTCTGAGTGTTTAAATCTCTCCATTTTCTGCTATAACACTAGAATATAAACCTTTATTTCCCCACAGGTTCTTTTTTATGCACACTCACTTAGGTTAGAACTTTTAGAGAACACAGTCCAGTTGATAAGAAGAATCATTCTGTGATCCCCAACAACTAGATCAAGCATATGTGGGTATTTATGGTATTCAGGCTGTGTTGTTGTCAGGTGCTTTTGAGTTGAGTACAAATCACAGTGATCCTATGAACAACAGATCTGAGTCCTGTCCTGTCCTGTTGCATCTCTGACTCACTTGAGCCCATTGCCGTGGTCACTATGTCCATCCATCTCATCTTCCTTTTTTTCACTGACCTTCCACCTTTCCAAACATGGTGTTCCTCTCCAAGGAATAGCCTCTTCTAGCAACATGCTCAAAGTATGCGAGATAAAGCTTCACCGTTCTTGCCTCCAAAGAGCACTCTGGCTGCTGCACTTTTCCCAAAACATACATGTTTGTTCTCTTGGCAGTCCATGGGATATTCACTGCTTTTCTTCAACACTATACCTCAAAGGCATTTATTCTTATTTTTCTTTACTGTTCAGATGGATAGCAAGTGATAGATCATGCTATACTCATTGCTTTTGAGAACACCATTCATATCAAGGGAGCTCTGATGGCCTGGTGGTAAGGAGCTGCTCTACAGTCTCAAAGGCACTCAGTTCAAATCCAGCAGCTGCCCTGCAGGAGAGATAAAATATATAATTAAACTGCCTCTGAAAACCTCCTGAAAGGGCAGCTATGAGTTGGTTCCAGCTCGACTGTATACAACAAGAATAATTCATATCACACAGCCGAGGCTGTAGGGAAGGATATAAAGATTCTATGAGTTGGTGTCAACTCGACAGCAGTTAACAACAAAATATATATATACCTTTTCAGTCTATATGCAGAACAGATTATCTGGGAGGCTGGGCTCTATGAGGAGAAATGTGACATCAAGATTGGAGGAAGACTCATCAACATCTGTATTATGCAGATGACACAACCCTGCTTGCTGAAAGTGAGGAGGACCTGAAGCTTTTGCTGCAGAAGGTCAATGACTGCAGCCTTCAATATGGATTGAAGCTCAATATCAAGAAAACAAAGATTCTCACCATCAGACTGATTGACAGACAGCATTGTGATAGATGTGAAGAGATTGAGATTGTTAGCAGCTTTAGTTTGCTTGGCTCTACAATAAATACTTTTGGCACTAGCAGGCAGGAAATTAAAAGACATTGCATTGTGAAAGTCTGCTGTCAGAGACCTCTCCAGTGTCCTGAAGAGCAATGATATCAGTGTGGCGACTAAGATGCACCTGAAGACTAAGAAGGCCATGGTCTTGCAATCACTTGCTATACATCAGCGAATTGGACAATGACTAAGGATGATAGAAGGAAAATTGATGCCTTTGAGCTGTGGTGTTGGAGAAGAGTATTGAATATACCATGGACTTCCAAGAGAACAAACAAGTTCAGCCTGGAGAGGGTTAAACCAGGATGCTCCTTGGAAGCAAGGATTCTTAAGCTTCATCTGACACACTTTGGGCATGTTGCAAGGAGGGACCAGTCCCTGGAGAGGAACTTCATGCTTGGGAGGGTGGAGGGACAGTGCAGGAAAAGACCTTCCATGAGATGGATTGATTCAATGTCTGGGGTAATGGGAATAGATGTGTCAGAGGCAATAAGATAGAACAGGGTTTAGGGCTGTTGTACATAAGGTTGCTATGAGTCACAGGCCACTCCATGGCACGTAACAACAGCAACGACGACAACAACAACATGTATAATTTGCTATACATGCAAGTTAAAGTTGTATCTCTAAACAATTACTCATTTCAGACCATATTCTGATTGTTTCAGGGTTGTGTTTGTTACTTTTCCACAAGCAGTCGTCATCATACTAAATTTTACTCGGATCCAGTAGAAGCTATCAAAGACATCCCAGATGGTGCAACGATTCTGGTTGGTGGTGAGTGACAACATTGCTTTCCTTTTTATGGTCGTTGCCTTCTATTTTTAGGGTATTCCTGAAACCACATGGCAATGTTGTATAGATTAGAAAAAGTATTCAAAATGGTAATTAGTTTATGATTATAGTGTCCTCTTCCGGAAAGTTTAGAAAACTTAGTATTTAATTCTTTCCTTCCTCTTGCTCCCTATTATTTTCAAAAGGTGAAGTATTAAAAAAATTAAAACCCTCTGTGGTGAACTAACTCACTATACTAGAACCCTGGGCGTTGTCTTTAACTTGAAATGTTTGCATTGATCACATTGGCTCACTTCCAGCCACTCCTTATATCACAGGGCGGGAAACACGCAGGCCTCTGTCTTTTGTTGAACACACCTTAAATTCTGTTGCTCCTTCATGTTTGGAATGTCTTTTAGAAGAACTGACTTTGTGAGTCATTACATTTGTGGGCTGACTTTTAGACATTTCTTCGAATTCCTAGGCTCTTTGGTCACAGAATGTGAGGCCTGCTTTCAGGACAGCTTTCCATTCATTTATTCATTCAGATACTGCCACTGAATGTTCTCTTTAAACACAATACTTTGGAGTATTGAGGAAGACGTTTAAAAAAAAGAAAGATGCTGGCACAGATGTTCAATTCTGCAGAAGCTACTTGAACAAATAAAACATCTACGCTTGAGGAAGTTACTGTAGAAAGGTTGAACTTTATAGTGGGGCAGTAATAGATGGGTGCTTTTGTACAAGATAAGCAATGTGTAGCTGATTGCACTTGGCTTTGTACTGAGGATTTAAAGACTTGACAGGGATGCTTTGTGTTGTGCAATGATGATGCAAGGTACTTGAATACAGATGTGTGTTGAGTTACTGAGATCATCTGAGACTTTATAAACTTAATAGTGTGCTTGATTTAAAAAATTTTTCTAGTAAAAAGAGTAACACAAAAAAATTTTTTAAAAAGAATAACACGCATGTTTCCCCGAAGGAAATAGTTTTAACTGTTGCACTTATTATAGGTTTTGGACTCTGTGGAATTCCAGAGAATCTTATAGGAGCTTTATTGAAGACGGGCGTGAAAGGGCTCACTGCAGTCAGCAACAATGCCGGGTAAGTGTGCATTGACAACACTTGGCTTGAATAAAATGTTAAAAACCATGAATAAAATGAAAATTTACCCCTTTTACATAAATAGTATGCCCAAGCTTCAAAAGAAACCAGAAAAAAAGAAAAGAAATTCAGAAATATTTAGCAATGTCAAGAGTAGACATTATTTTCACCCAAATATTGTTGGTCTTCATCCATGTCCTCTCCATAATCTTAAGTAATCATAGTTGCATAATTTTATATTCTTTCCATTTCTTTTTAAAATTGTGGTTTGGGTGAAAGTTTACAGAGGAAATTAGTTTCTCATTCAACAATTTATGCACGTTTTGTTTCATAATCTTGGTTGCAGTTTTCTTTTCACAGCTCTCTTCCTGCATCCTCACGAGGTTGTTGGTGTCTGTTTGTCCTTCTTTCCTGCCCCTGCCTGCCATTTTAGTTTTATTTTCAGACAAACAATCTGATGAACTCTTATTTTTCTAATGCTAAAATATAAAAAGAAAACTTTTCAAGTTAAATATTAAATTTTAAAATTTAAAGATGTCCTTTATGTTGTGAAGGAATTTTAGCTCTTTCTTTATAAAGCATCACGGATATTAATTTGAAATCTGCTTAAAATGATTTTAATTATGCTATTTTTATCAGTTGCTGTTGAGTTAGCACTCACTTGTGACAGCCCAATAGTAAGAGAATGAAATGTTTTCTCTTCTTGTACCACCTCCATGATCTGTGACATATTTGAACACATTAATGAGGCTTTTCCTGATCCTTTTTTTACTAATGATTGATCTTTCTTGATGGTGTGTCCAGTTACACCAATTACATATAAATACCATTAATAATAAAAATACCGCTTATCTTGATGGGAGGAACAAGGATATGCAGCCAGCATTTATGATAGTAAGTTCACATACAAGAAAAGTTCACAGTACGTCATAAGATTTTTTTTAAATTTCATTTTATTATTTTTTGTGTGTGTACCATCAAATCAAATCTGACTGGTACAGGAGGAGATTGCCCCTCCTGCTCCAGAAGAGAGCATCTGGTGGATTCGAACCGTGTTCCTCTGGAATTGCAGTGCAGCTTCTTGCCACTAGGCCACCAGAGCTCCCTACATCATAAGATTTTAAAAATGTTGAACACATTGTTGTTGTTGTTAAGTGTCATCGAGTTGTGGATGACTCATAGTGATCCTATGAACAAAAGACCTGAATGCTTGTATAAGTTTTATTGTTTCTTTAAGTTCATAGAGTTTCTGGAGACAAGGTATTTTGGAAATGGATGCCACTCCTGCTTCCAAGCTTGTTTTAATCGGGAAGCTTCACCAAACATTGTCCACCATGGGTAACCATTATCACATTTGACACATCAGTGTCACAATGTTTAGCATCACAACAACCGTGAGTTACCTCTGTACAGTAAATGGACAGATCAGTGCTATACCACTTAGAAGAATATTTGACTAAAACCAATTAAAACTAGACCTGAGGGCCGCAGATTAAAATCACCCACCTTTGGCTTGGTAGCGTAACTTCCTATCCACTGGGCCAACAGAGCTCTCGCTATGACTCACAGCAATTCTGTGAACAACAGTTCTAACCTTGCCCTATCCTACACCATCCCCACAATCCGAGACACACTCAAGCCCATTGCTTCAGTAACCATATCAATCCATTGTGTTGAGGATCATCTTTTCTTTTCTGACCTTCCATTTCTTTCAGCATGATTCCATTTCCCAAGGACTGAACCTTTAAACTGTTGTTTGCTGTTATTGTCGTGTCATAGGCGACTCATAGTGACCTTATGAACGAAAGACCTGAATACTTGTATAACTTTCATCGTTACTCTAAGTTCATAGTTTCTGGAGGCAAGCTATTCTTTGAGTCAGAGAAATGCTGAGCAAGTTCTTCTCTTTCTATTCTCTGATCCCAGTTCTTTGCATGTTTCATTATAATGCTTTTCTTTGTCTTCTTGAGGTAACCTTTGAAATCTTCTCTGGAGCTGTTTTAGTTCAGCATCTGTTCCCTTTGTTTTTGCTTCTTGATGCTCTGATGCAGTTTTCATAGTTTCTTCTGATACCTGCTTTGGATTTTTTCCCCTTCTGTCTTTGTAATGACATTATCTTCTCTTCATGTGTGATATCCTTGATTTCATCCCACAGCTCCTTTGGTCTTTTATCATTGGTCATCAGTGCTTCAAACGTGTTCTTTTTTTGAGTTTTTAAAATTAGTTTTAGGGTTTTAAAAATTCATATATATTGTATTTCACACATTACTTCATTCACATTGTGTTTCAATCATATGACCATTCCCCTACAGTATGTGTGATAAAATTAATCACCATAGATCTATACCTACTATTACTCCATATTTTCCGGATCCTACTAACCTTTTTTATATAAAATTTTAATTTTATACTAGTTTACTTATAAAGCTCGTATGCATTGTTTTTCACACTGGATCTTTCTCCTTTCCTTTACCTACCCCTCCCTCCACTCATTAAGTTGTACAACTCTATGATCAAGCCTACTGATCTTTCTTAATTTTTTCACTCTATGCCTCCACCTACAAAACTCTTTGATCTGATGTCCCCTCCCCCACCCCTGCCCCTCTGCCCCTTCACCTCCTCTCTCTGGACATGTATACAGATTTTACTAGTTATGCTTATAGTTTTACAGTAAAGTTCTTATATGCAGTATTTGTCCTTATGAGACTGAGTTAGTTCACTCAGCATTATGTTCTCTTTCTCCTCCCATGTTATATTATTTTTCATAATACTCCTGAGTACTGTATTATTATTATTATTAGTATTCCATCATATGAATGTACCACAGTTTCTCAATGCATTTATGTTGATGGACATTTGGGTTGTTTTCATGTTCTTACTTTTGTGAAAAATGATGCTATGAACATCAGTGTTCAAATCTCCATTTGTGTCTCAGTTCTATTTTCCTTGGGGTATATTCTTAGCAGTGGAATAGCTAGCTGGGTCAAATGGAATTTATTTCATCGGCTCTTTTGGGTGAATTGATTGTGTGTCAGATATTATACTAAAGCTCAACTTCCAAATTCAGACTAGAAAGAAGGATTTTCCATCCACTTCTGAAATAATCGGCCTTGAAAACCTATGAACAATAGAGCACACTAAGACTAGTGGATATAGCACTGGAGGCTGAGCCCTCAAATTGGGAAACACAAATTAAGAGGAAGAGTTGCAAATAGCCACACTTTAATTATTTGAAGTAATAATTATTTTAATTATAAGAAGTATGAATGGAGGAAAATTAGAACTTTTTAAAAAGAAAATGTAATTAATAAAAGAATTGGCAAGCTGTGATAGCTTGTCATAGGCCATTTTGAATTAGACAATCACATGATCTATCTCCATACTTTTTCAACCTGTATGC